GACCGGGAGGGGGTTGATATTGGTATCGCAGGCCCCTGAAAAAGCCCACAGTTCCCAAGACAGACCACCCCGGGGCTGGGTGTGAAAGGAGAAAGGCTGTTCCTTGCCGGCTCCCCTTCCCACTCCACTTGCCTCCCATGATCTTGGTTGTCTGGGAGAAGGTCTGCACGTGGGTGGTGGAGCTGGAGCTGAACTCCATGGACACGTGCTCCTGCAGCATCTGCTTGTGGTGAATGGTCGTCATGGTGACAGCAGGCGTAGGCACTCACCTGTGAGGACTGGGAAGAGGATGAGGCCCTGAGGAAGGAGCAGAAGGATATTGATTTGTGTGTGTGTATGTGTGTGTGTGTGTGTAAGAGAGACAGGCACAAAAGGAGATGGAAGCCCATAGAAGAGAGCAAGGAAAGAGACCAGGTGGCAAGCTGCTCTTGTCTTCATTTTACATTGCTCTGCCCATGGCTGGTTGCAAGGACCCATAAGCCTGTTCTCTCATTGAGTAACCCCAACCCATACCAAGTTCTTGTGGGGAAGAAAACACTGTAGGGCTTAGACTTACCCATAGAGCCAAGTAAGACCCAGAGGGAGTTGAGGATACTAGGGCTGCTAACTGCAAGCTTCATGGTTCAAACCCAGCAGCCCATAGGGAGAAAGAAAGATGAGGCTGTCTGCTACTATAAAGATTCACAGACTTGGAAACCCTATGAGGGTCATTATGAGTTGGAATTGACTCAATGGCAGTGGATTTGACGTTTTTTTTTTTTTTGAAGTTGGTAATTATTCAGCGCTATAGAGTCCTGGTCTGGTAGCGTAGTGGTTACGACTCGGGCTGTGAACCGCAAGGTCAGCAGTTCGAAACTACCAGCTGCTCCGCGGGAGAAAGATGAGGCTTTCTACTCCCGTAAAGATTTACACCCTCGGAAACCCTGTACAGGGTCGCTATGAGTCGGTTCCGACTCCACGGCACATAACAACAACAACAACATAGAGTCCTGGAGTGGTACTGTGGGAGAAGCACTGGACTACTAAGTACAAGGTCAGCAGTTCAAACCCATTAGCCACTCCTTGGAACCCCTACACAGGATCGCTATGAGTTGGAACTGACTTGACAGCATTTAAAAACTTAGACCTACTGGTAACTGCTACTGACAAGTACTTGTATCGTACACAGGGTTGTTGTGAATCAGAACAACTCCAAAGCATTTGCCAACAATAGCACTGATAACTGCACGGAACTAGGGAGGCGGCGCTCGATGTTCCATCAGGAGGGGAGGAAGGCTGACTGAAGAATGAGCCATGCTAGAGTGGGCCTTAAGAAGCAGCTGTGAATCTTCCCTGGGGACCCCTGGCATTCATGGAATGCTAAAGCAAATGAGAACGAACTTTTGGAACTCTGCTTTCATTTGTGAAAAGGTGAAGTCAGAAGTTTAGTATTCCATACATTTTTTTTTTTTTTCTTTTTCTTTAGAATCCTGGGTTTTTTTTTTTTTTTTCTTTTTCTTTAGAATCCTGGGTAGCATGAGCTGTTTGCTATCTGCTGCTACCTTAAAGGTTGGTGGTCAAACCTACTCACTGGCTCCTTGGAAGGAAGAGCTGGCAACCTGCTCCCTAAGAATCAGAGCCCAGAAAACCCTGTGGGGCAGTTCTACCCTGTTACACACGGCGCCCCCATGAGTTGGAATCGACTCAATGGTAACTGGTGGTTTCTTTTTTGCAGTTAATAATTCAGTCACATGGCTAAAAAATACAATAATATCAAAATACATTATGAAGAGGCGTCACTCCCCGTCCCCCCACCCCCAATCTCTCCTAACCACCTCTTTACAGGTACTGTTTACGGGTTAGTCTCCAGACTCATTCTGAAAAGCCTTCATGTAAATAGGAATTGAGATTTTTGTTCCTTCTTTTTTTTTTTTTTTTATTTTACATGTAAAACATATACACATTGCCTTGTTCCTTTCTTTTTTCACGTAATACATCTTGGACATCTTTCCATATTAGATCACAAAGTTTCCTCATTCTGCTTAACAGCTACATGGTAATTCAACATACAGATGTACCCATTAGCATTTATTTATGCATGGCCACTTTAAAATCTCTGTTCTGTCCATGAGGAAACTGGTGTCTGAGAGCAATAACTTGTCCAAGGTCATTCAGGTCAGAATCCTGTACTCTTCATGGCCAATCCAGTGCCCTTCCAGGGGACCCAAAAAGCTTTGTTCTAGGATAGGCAGGTAGCTTGAGGGTTATGGCTAAACTATACCTTCCTGTTTCTGCCAGCATTTAGCACTGCCTGGCCTGCTTCTAAGAGCTTAGCTATTAAGCAAAAGGTTGGGGGTTTGGGTCCACCCAAAGGCACCTCAGAAGAAAGACTGACTTCTGAAAAGTCACTGAAAACCCTGTGGCACACAGTTCTGCTTGGACACCCATGGGGCACCCTGCGTCACAATCAACTCGCAGGCACGTGGTTTGGTATTTTTTGGGCCTGCTCCTGCCTCTTTGGCTTCTAACACTACTCACCTGTCTTGCTCCTTCCTCTCCTATACCAGTCTTTCCTCCACCTCTGCGATCTGCTCCCTTCAGGAGACAACAGGGAAGCCTTACCTTCTGTGCTGACCAGTCCCTCCCAACACTTTGGAGGCTCAGTGAGCGTCTGGCTGTAAGAGTGGACAGTCTCCTCCTTCCTTTGCCCCAATGGTGGAGCCACCAAGAGTCATCCGTTCCTTAAATGTCTGGCTCCCTAGGGGCGATTCCTTTCTCAGATTCCCAGCTGTCCTAGCTAGATGGCACAGGGTTTTGGTGGAAGGCTGGGGGGTGGGGGTGGGGGAGACTGGATCCAGAAGGAAATGCTGAGGCCCAGGTGAGAAGGACACTGAGGGTGGTCATCTGGGGGTACTTATCTTTGTACTTACCTTTGTGGCAGAGCCTTTGGTTCTCATTACTGCTGGGTGGGACCTCTCTGAGCCGAGGGGCTCAGGGTTGTGTGTATGTGTGTGCACATGCGATCCGATTGTGCGATTCAACAGGATGTGAGAACAAAGCAGTAGCTTCATTTTGTGTCTACTTGGTTTAGGAGGGAGGGAGTTGGAAAAGGTCTAGGGGGCATCTGCCACTTGTACAAATTCAGGGGTACCATGCAAACATTTCTCTCTCCTCCTGCTTTCCACAGTCCACTTTCTCTCATTGTTGTTCTTAAGTGCCATCAAGTTGGTTTCAACCCATAGCGACCCTGTATAGGGTTTCCAAGGAGTGGCTGGTGAGCTTGAACTGCCAACCTTGAGGTTCAAATTGACTTTGCAGTCCAGTGCATTAACCCACAGCGCCACACCCAGACTCCTGGTTAGACTCCCAGATTAGACAGGTAGGTGGGGATGAAAGGTCTGTTGGAAGGTGTCTGGAGAGTATGCCCTGTACTGTGCCCCACTTCCCCCATAGCTGAGCTACTGCCGCCATTCCTCCTCTTTCTCAGTGTCCACAACATGTCCTGTTTGTCAGGGTTGGTCAGCAGCCCTGTCCTGGACTGAACCCCAACTGTGGCATTGGTATCACTGCTACTTTTGCTCCATCCCAGGGGACAGAGGTAAATAGAGCAGGAGTGTCCGGGATGACTCAGGATGCCCTGGGTCCCTCGGGAAAGGTCACTCTCAGTCAGGCCTTACAAGGGAAAGTGCTGGGCTGCAGCTGCTGCTGGGACCCAAGGGGCTAGCATGGGGTAGGAAGGCTAGCTGTGACCTGATGTCCCCCTGGTCCAGCCTGGGCCTCTTTGGCCTTCCAGTCTCTACCCCTGTTCTGAGTGTCCTGTGGCCTAGGGCACTGGCTGGGTTCGGGGGTCGACGAAGTGAGAGGCTGTAGAATGGAATTATTTTGGCTTCAGATCTGGACTGTCTTCATGGAAGGGGCTTGTGGAACTGCTGGCCTGGCTCTGTGGGCATGCTGGGAGGGAAGGGCGCAAACACAGGCCCAGGGGCAAATCACACAGACCCAAGAGTCTAGTTTTGCTCAAAATGCTCCTTTATTGCTCTATTCAATGACCACGAGCGAATTATAAAAAGACACCAAATGTCTCTGTTTGCCGTGGGATAAATATTTAAAGTCAGCAATAAAAACACGTGGCTCCAAGAGAACACATGTTGCCGAAGAGTCATGCATGCCCCGTGGAGGGGCTCTCGACACACGCGTGGACATGGGAACGCACACAGAGCTACACACAGCAAGAGTTTTGGGAGCAGTTTCCCACAGGGACACAGGAAAATGTTTTACACAGATCTGGGACCCAGTCCCCCCATAACCCCCCTCTCCCACCCCCCACCAGGGCCCAGAGCCCTTGGACTCACTGCTCCATCGATCTCGTTCCTTCCCCAATGACTCCGAGGCTGGATGCTTGCTTCCTGAGGGCACCTGACACCCAGGTCTCCCCTGATGGGCCTCCCCCCAACTCAGAGACCTTCTTCTCAGCTGAGACTTTCAGCCAGTCTATCGGGGCCCTGCCCTGCCCCTGCTTGGTCTCCAGGAACACGGGCCCCTCATCCTGGTCCCACCTGGTCCAGATAACTGGGGAGGAGCAGAGGTGGCCTGAGACAGGCCCCTCCACCTGGCGGCTCAGGGGCTGGAACTCATCTGCTCTCTCCTGGGTGAGGAGACACAGTGTCCGGTACAGACAGCAGAGATGGATGGTGAGACAGAACACACTGTGGCAGGACATGTGGAGGGTGGCACAGAAAGGTTTTGGATCAAGTAGCAGTGAAGCCATAGTTAAAAACTGAGGCCCCCGTCTTTGTGGTATGAGTCAGGCCCCAGGGCCTCAGGCCTGGCCTGGCACATCCCTCCCCCACCCTCCCCCTACTCCCCAATATTTACAGTAGGAAGAGCGATGCAGGGGGGCAGGGGCCAGGCCTAGGCGAACAAAGGAGGAAGGAAGCGGGTTGGGTGGGAGCAGATCCAGGGCCTGAGGCAAGGTCCTGGGTGGGGGGTAGGGCCCAGAGGACCTCAGCAGGGGAGCAGGGTCACTCCTGGGATTGGCGGGACAGCTGCTTCTCGTAGAGGCTCATGACATGGTGCACAAACTGGTACTGCTCACACGTCTGGATCATGCCACCCCTGCCCGGCAGACACACAATGTGACCACGTTAGGTGCCCCACCAACCCTGGAGTGAGTACTAATCATGGGTGAGACCCTTTAGGGGCTGTGGCTTTCTGCAGGCTGAAGAGACCATTCTCTGCCAGCCCTTCCCAGATCTGACACAGTCGGATCTTGGGGACACAGGGGACATGTCCCCCCCGCCCTCAGCCCCTTTCCTCCTGTCCACTACCTAGGTTTCTCTCTTCTCTTCATGGAACCATCAGTTGGCTGGATCCTGACCCTTTATCAATCTGTCTTCTCCACTCTCTGTCTGCCAGTCTGTCCATCTCTCCCTTCCCCCATGCACAGCCTTCCCCGCTGCCCCTTGGGGCTCTTCCCACCCTGGTCGTGAGCTGACCTATCCTGACGGAGCTGGCATGTAGTCTTCAGGATGTCCACCACGCCTTCCTGTCGCAGCTGCTGGCAGCAGATACTGGTGGCGATGAAGCAGCCCGTCCTACCAATCCCTGCACTGAGGGATGAGGGGAAGTGTCAGGGTGGGCAGCCTGTGGGGAGTAGCCCTACCTAGGATGACTGGGAGGACCCACCTGCAGTGGACAATGATGGGGGCGCAGTGGGGCCCCTCCTGCTGGGCTGCCTCCTCCACCTCCTGTACCAGATGCAGGAGTGGTGGGGCACGGTCTGGGGTCTTCTGGTCAGGCCAGGATGTGAACCAGTAGTGCTTTAGGCATCGCTCTTCGGTCCCGCTCTGTCCAGGAGACAGAAGCCCACCCAGATTTATGTGGACTTCTCAGCCCCACCAACCATCCCAGAGATGGGGATGGAAGGGGAGGAGAGAAAATGTATGAGGCCAGGGGCAGGGAGTGGAGTCCAGTCCTTCCCATGGGCACCACAGTTCCCAGTGGTGCTAGACAGGGAGCCACAGTCAGCTTGGTCCCAGGTGCCGGTGAGTATCAGCAGTTCTCACTTCAGCTTTGCCTCAGAGATTCCAAGATCCTGGAGAGGGGTGGGGAAACCCTGTCTCCAGCTCATTACTGCCTGCAGGCTTCTTGTCATGGGCTGAGTAGCGTTGAGCTGGGCTGGGCCATGATTCTCAGTGGTTCAGCAGTTATGTAATGATGCATGTGGCAGTTGTGTGATGATCCCCCATGATGTGGACGGATGTGGACTAATCCCAGTAAGAGGAGTAAGGGTGGGCTGGTATGGTGCTGCAGAAGAATGCACTAGACAGCGAGGTTGGTTTGAACTGCAACATCGATGGTTCAAACCCACCAGCTGCTCCTTGGAAACCCTATACAGAATTGTATAGACTTGCTATGAGATAGCACTTAACACCAACAGGTCCCTCTGCTCATTTCTCTGTTGTAAGATAAAAGGTATTGCGGAACATACCCAAGGGAAACTGGGGTTATAATAGGATTAGGGTATTGCTGTTGTTGTAAAGTGCTGTTGAGTCAGTTCCAATTCATAATGACCCTGTGTAGGGTTTCTGAGGAGCAGCGGGTGAGCCTGAACCACCAACCTTACGGATCAAACCGACTTTGCAGTTCAGCACATTAATTCACAATGCCATACCAGGACACTCTTGCAGCTGGTGAACTTGAACTCTTGCAGTGTAGTGGTTGTGAGTCAGGCTCCTAAATTCAAGATCAGCAGTTCGAAACTACAGTCATTCCACGGGACAAAGATGAGGCTTTCTGTTCCTGTAAAGATTTACAGCCTCAGAAACGCAATGCAGGCTCACTATGAGTCGGAACCAACTCCACAGCACATCACCACCACCACCACCACCAAGAGGGACCTACCACCACTAAAACAAAAGATCCTGAGTGAGTGTGTCCTTTGGACATGGGGACCCTGTACTAAGAAACTCCCAGACTCAGGGCAAGAATGAGATCAAGATGTGGGGAGATCTCCAAGGAATACCAGGCCTGCAGATAGATGCTGAGAGGAGACAAGGACTTTCCCCCAGTGCTGAAGCACAGAGAAAGCCTTTCTCTAGGACTAGGACTCTGAATTTGGACTTTCAGCCTCTTAAACTGAGAGACTAAAGCTCTGTCTGTTAAAGCGATCCACTTGTGGGATATCTGTTATAGCAGCACTAGATGATGAAGACAGTCTCTTATCTTAGTAAGTGATGCAGACATCTTTTGGTCCCCAAATGACTCTATGTTCATGTCATTATGTTGGCTGCCTGCCTAGCACCATATTTACATCTTTCAGCTTTTGGGGCCACTACAGAAGGAGCTCTGGTAGCGTACTGGTTACGAATCGGGCTGTGAACTGCAAGGTCAGCAGTTCGAAACTACCAGCTATTCCATGGAAGAAAGATGAGACTTTCTGCTCCCATAAAGATTTACAGCCTTGGAAACCCTATACAGGGTCGCTATGAGTCGGAACTGACTCCATAGCACATAACCAGTAGGCTCTGGACTCCTGCTGTGGCGCTGTAGGATCAGCACTGGACTGTGAACCACAAGGTTGGTGGCTCAAACCCACCAGCTGCTCCTCGGAAATCCTATACAGGGTCACTATAAGTTAGAACTTTCTTGATGGCACTTAACAACAGTGGTTTCTACCTTCCCCAAACATCAGTTTTATTATTTCTACAGCCCGAACCCACTAATTTCTTTGATGCCGAAGGGACAGCTTTCTCTGTTTTGCTGATCCTGGAAGAAGCACATCTTCAAGGTGGGAGGATCCCTCCCCCAACTCTTCTGGGCTGTTTTGAACTGCTCATATTTTCTGTGTTTTCCTTTTTCTTTCCCTTTTCTCTAGCTACAAGCTCCCCATCTGATCATCCAAACACAGTAGGGAGCGTCGGCCCTCTGGTGGACACATCAGGCACTACTGTGGCCAGAAGCCTACCACTGCAGGTGAAGGGGCCTTCTTAAGTTGTTGTTAAGTGCCGTCAAGTCGATTCCGACCCATAGCGACTCTGAACAGGGGTTCTGAGGCTGTAAATCTTTACGGGAGCAGAAAGCCTCCTCTTTCTCCCACGGAGCAGCTGGTAATTTCGAACTGCTGACCTTGCGGGTCGCAGCCTGATTCGTAATCACTACGCTACTAGAGCTTTTTAAGTTGTTAAGTGCCCTCAAGTCAGTTTCAACCCAAAGTGACCCCGTATAGGGTTTCTAATGAGTGACAGGTGAGTTTGAACCACTGATTTGGTGGTTCAAACTACTTTGTAGTCCAGTACATTAACCCATGGCGCCACACCAGGACTCCTAATGTTGTTGTTAATACCGTGGAGTCGGTTCCAACTCATAGTGACCCCGCATGGGAGCTCTGGTAGCATAGTATAGGAGGACTCTTAATGGGGATTTCAAAATGCCAGTGGACCTTCAAGTCTTAAAGATAGCGCTGGAGCCCACAGACTCCTTCACCCAGACAATCATGACTTGGGATGCATTCAAAACAGAGCTGGAAGGTATTATGAATTCATAGAGCGGTGAGAGGTAGCCCATCAGAATTAAATTCGACTAAGGAGCTCTGGTAGCATAGTGGTTACGAATCGGGCTGCGAACCTTAAGGTCAGCGGTTCGAGACTACCAGCCGCTCCGCGGGAGAAAGATGAGGCTTTCTACTCCCGTAAGGATTTACACCCTCGGAAACCCTGTACAGGGTCGCTATGGGTCGGAACCGACTCGACGGCACTCAACAACAACAACAACAAGGCTGCTCCTTGGAAACCCTGTACAGGTTTGCTATGGGTCGAAACTGACTCGATGGCACTTAACAACAACAACAAAGGTTTGTAAAGGAGTCCTGGTGTGGCGCTGCAGGATAATGCTTGCAGGACTGCAAGGTCAGTTTGAACCGCAAGGCCGGTAGTTCAAGTTCACCAGCTGCTCCTCAGAAACCCTATACAGGATCACTATGAATTAGAACCAACTTGATGGCACTTAATAGCAGCAACAAGGTTATAAGGTCCATCACAGCAAGCGTGTCAGTTCAAACTCACCCGTCACTCCTTGGTGTGTAAAGAATGAAAAGTTGGTGGTTTCGCAGAAGAAAGACCTGGTGATGTGTTCTTGTAAATGCAGCCTAGTAAACACTACGGGATAGCTCTTTCACATAGGCTGATGTGTCAGGGTCCACTCCATGACACCCAACAACAACAACGTTTGTGAGGGATGGTACAAATGGTGAGCACACGTGGGGGGGTTGGAATTGTGAGTTCACTCCGATGTACCTAGGCAGAAAGGGTGCACTGCCTACTTCTGAAAGGCCAGCTGTTAACAACTCTATGAAGCACAGTTCTACCTGAATGTATATGTGGTCTCCCTCCAGGAGGTGAGTGTGTGTGTGTGTTTGTGGTTTGGGAATGTGGAGCCTGTCTCTGGACCTCAGGTTCATGTATGCGTTCCTTCTCTATTTATGCCTTATCTCTGCTTATCAGAAATCCTGGGAGTAACACAGGCCTCGATCTCAGCCACCGTGGGCTCTGGGACTGTGTTGTCCATGGTGTTCTCAGTCAATCTCCAGCCATCTACTTCTCTCCCCGCTTCACCAGCCAAGTCCAGCCCGAGGTCTCACCCTGAGGGAGATGAGCCGCAGCCGGTAGTCCTCCGTGTGAATAACCTTCTGCACAGTGACCTCCACACCATCATAGGTCGCCTGCTCCTCCGGCCAGTACTCAGTGCACTTCTGCGGGAGTCAGATCAGACTACCATGAGACCCACAGCTCCATTCCCACGGTTGTATTCTCAACTAAAGAAACTACAAGTTACTTCTCTTTCCTGAACCTCAATTGCTTCATCTGGGAAACGGGAGAACTAATACCCATTTAAGGGGATTGAATTAAATGTGTTATAATGGTCAGCAGTTCAAAACTACCAGCTGTTCTGTGGGAGAAAGATGAGGCTTTCTGCTCCTGTAAAGGTTTACAGCCTCGGAAACCCTACGCAGGGTGGCTATGAGTCGGAACCAACTCCACGGCACATAACCACCATCACCACCACTACCGCCACCGCCAATGGCTATGAAGGAGTCCTGGTGTGACGCTGTGGGTTAATGCACTGGATTGTGAAGTTGGTTTGAACTGCAAGGTCAGTGGTTTAAGCTCACCAGCTGCTCCCTAGAAACCCTATACAGGGTCGCTACTGGTCAGGACCGAGTTGACGGCACTTAACAACAAAAATGGTTACAAAGGGACTGCTGGTGATTCTGTAGGGTAAATATTGAACTGTGAGCCACAAGGTTGACAGTTCAAATCCACTAGTTGCTCATGGGAAAACATGAGGCTTTTCTGATCCCATAAAGGTTTACAGTCTCAGAAGCCCTATACAGGGTTACTATAAATTAGAATTGACTTGATAGCATCTAACAACAACAGTGGGCATGCAGGCAGCTGCGCCAAGCCTGGCACACTGGGGGCAGCAGAGCCTTGTGTTTAAGATCACGGGCACTGGATGTGAACAGAGGAGCCTGGGTTTCCACTCCAGGCTCTGCCTCTGTGTGGCTAGCAGCAAATGACATAACCTCTTGCAACCTGTTGTTACTTCATGGTGAACTGGAACAGGCTCTACTGACCTCAGAGGATTATCTGACGCAAAGGTGAGAAGACGTTCAGCCCAGGGCAGGAAGCAGCAAACCCTTGGCACTTGTATGGGGTCCCTGTGTATGGGGGTCCCTACCTCATTCATCTCCTCGATGTTGGTGACCATGACAATGATGGGTGTGTGCTCCTGCCACACCATACGCCAGAAGTCGCTGACCGTGCTGACGATGGGTCCCTGAGTGGCGATGTACACCTTCTCCTCCCCACCGTAGCCCTGTGGCCAGCCAAGGCCCAGAGGTCAGGGTCAGAAGCAGTGCTCCTGGAAACCAGTCCCACCCTCATGCTCTTCCCTGGGGCTGGCAGGAACCACAATGGCTTAGGGACCAATCTGAAGGGTGGACACCACTGGCCCTGGGCCTCCCTTCCAGGGAGAGGTCATCAGGGTGAGGCTACATACCCGGATGTAGTTGGCATTGATGTAGGAAATCAGGGGGTCGTCAGGGTCCGGCGAGGTCAGCCGCACTCTGCTGTGAGGGTCTGGGTTTGGGGAGACAGGTAAGGCTGGGAGCTAGACCCTCTGGTGCAGGGCCCCATTCTAGGGTACCCGCATTTCTCCTAGTACCTAGTGGCTTTCTCCTGACTCATCCCCATGGGCCACCTCAGGAAGGTGAGGACCCTGGCTAAGGAGGGCGAGTGCAGAGAGGGGCCCTGGGTCTCTACCTCCGGAGGATCAATGCCATTGCTGTTTAAGCTGCCCTGACCTCACCCGACTGCACCCCTCTCTTGGAGTGGGGAGATTGAAGTCCAGGCAGGAATGATCTACAGTACAGATCCTGGACAGCAAACAGCTTACAAAGCACACACCCTTTCTAGGCCTTAGTTTCCCTACCTGTAAAATATAGGTAAAGATGCCTACTTCTTAGAGTTGTTTGAAAAATCAGTGAGAAAACAGATGCCAAAGCGCCGTGGGAACTGTAAAAACCCAACCCAATGCCACCGAGTTGATTTGACTCTGTCAACCTTACATGGGAGAAAGACTACCTCATCTTTCTCCCATGGTGCAGCTGGTGGATTCGAACCTCCGACTTTGTGGTAAGCAGCCCCATGCCTAACCCACAGTGCCACCAGGGCTCCTCATGTAAACTGAAAAGAGCTGCTAAGATTTGGAAGTAGAAAGTGACAGGAGGACATGAGGGGCAGTGGGGAAGCCTTCTGAGTCTAAAGGGAGCCTGGAAGGGTCTTGGTGGAACAGACATCTGTGCTCATAGGCTTTTCTCCATCAATCCACAGGTCAGAGGAGCTCTGATGGTGTCAACAGTTAGGTGCTCAACTGCTAACTGGAAGGTTAGCGGTTTGAATCTACCCAATTGCTCTGTGAGAGGAAGATCTGGCAATCTGCTATGATAAACATTGGTGGTGGTGTGCTGGAAATCTTCACGGGAGCAGAGAGCATCAATCTTTCTCCCAAGGAGCGACCGGTATATTTGAACTGCTGACCTTGAGGTTAGCAGCTCAGTTTATAATCCACTCCACTACCAGGGTTCCTTTCATAAAAATTAGAACCCACAGTCTTTGCTGGGGATAGTTCACATCCTTCACAGAGCCTCTTTACCTTCTAACCATTAAGAGCCCTGCACTCTCCCATGAAGGAGCTCTGCTAGCACATTGGTTACGAGTCGGGTTGCTAACCTCAAGGTCAGCTGTTCAAAACCAAAAGCCATTCCGTGGGAGAAAGATGAGGCTTGCTGCTCCCGCAAAGACTTCCAGACTCTATGCAGGACTGCTGAGTCAGAACCGACCCCAGAGCATACCACCACCATTCTGCCATGAGCTCCTTGTATGATCCCCCCTGCTCTCCCCGGCTTGAACTGCTTCTTCCAAGTCCTGTTAACCAAGGTTTGTGGCTTGAACTGAGTACACTGCACATCTCCAGTCAAATCCCTCTGCCCATTTTCTAACTTTATTGAAGATCCTGGGTGAGAGACATGGACTTATAGGATGGACAGGTCTACTTTAAGACAGAGCTAGACTGGGACCTCAGCTGGCCACTGCTAATTATTGCTACTGTGGGAAGGCACCAACATGAAAGCCAGATTCCTAGCACGGTCTGAGCTATCCCTGGCAGTGGGAATCCTTGGCTCGAACTCTCAGCTGTAATCAAACTGGATTCTACAGTCATTTCTTCCTCAGAATTCCTTCGTGGAGCTGAGAACGCCAGCTTGGGAAAAATGACCTCATTTTGAGAAAGTCCGTTTACTTTGGGCATTTGTAATTCCCTCACAATGTCCTGTCACATTATTTGACATAGGAAGTACTTAGTACATTTTAAATTAACAAGTCTTTGGACTGGGGTTTTGACTCCTGATAAAGTATATGCCTTTGGGATGAAGACTCTCTTGGTTAAGCATCGTATCCCCCTTCTATCACTTCCCTTTGAAAATCAACCTTTTGGGTAGAAAGAACCTTGATGTGTGAAACCACTGTAAACCTACTGTAACTTTTTGGAAGCTTGAGGGGTTTATTCTCATGCTGTCAATTAAATAAAGATGGCGTTTTCATTTTTTAAAAAAAAGATTACAGCCAAGAACACTCTATAGGGCAGTCTGATTCGGTCACATGGGATCACTATGAGTCAAAATGGACTCGATGGCACCTAACAACATCTGCTTGCCAAATCCCATAGTAACAAATCCCCCAGCTCAGTCTGCCTTTCTCCCCGTACCATGCCGACGATCCTGCCAGTTTGCAGAGGCTGGGATTGATACGGCAGGTGAGATGGGGTGGGCAGGGAAGCTGGCTGGAGTCTGGGGGCCTGGGCTCTAGTCTGGCCTTGTCATCAGTTCACTGTCTGACTATGGATAGTGGTCCTCAGTTTCTCTTTAATAGTCAGGAGGGCTGGACTAAAGGCACTTCCAGTGTGTACCTTATGGGGTTCTCAGGGGCAAGGTAGGGAGTGATTCAGAGTACCCACCACTAAGTCAGACAGTCTGGGTTCAAATCCTGACTATGGCTTAGCAGCCACTTACTTAATCTCTCTTTGTTTTATCTGTAAACCAGGGGCACTCCTCCCCAAACCACCTTATGTGTCTTGTAAAGGTTCAATCAGTTTACACGAACAAGGAGAGCCCTAGGAGCAATAACTGGCATACAGCCACCACTACATAGCAGGCAGCTGCTCTCACCATTATACCGGAGCAGGTAAAAGAAGGGTGCCAAGCCCAGCAGGAAAAACAAGGGAGGGAACAAGCACAAGCTTCCTGTTGCCAGTTCTTTTCTTACCCCAGCCCAGCTGCCTGGGTTTTGGCACGTGACCTGGGGGGACAGCTGGGGGTGGGGCATACAGAAGAAGGGTGGAAGGGTCTTTGGTGTCAGAAGTGGAGAGAAGCAGGAATCAGAAGATTGGGGGCTTCTAGGAGCCCATCAGAAGAGCTCCACGCAGGCTACGTCTCTACCCCCCACCTGCATCTGCCCAGATTAGTTGGCCACAAGGACAGAACTAGGCACTGCTCACTCTGGCCAGACACTGGGTCTTTGGTATTAAAGAACCACTCTGTAATGGAGTTTGCTCTGCCTCATTCAATAGACTCTTCCTGAACACAGGCGCTGTGCCAGGCACTGTGCTTGTCAGTAGAGACTTCTAGAAAAGCAAGACATGGTCCTTGTGCCCAGGAAACTCACAGTGTAGCGGGGGCAGAAAGATGGGCAGGCAGGATGGGTACAGAGTGTGGCATGTGAGCACTAGGGTTTAGGGATCACAGGGGGCCCTTGATGTAGCTTTGTGGGCAGGGTGACACTTGGATGGGTTTGAAGGAGGAAACATAGGAAATACCATTGGGTCTGACTCAAATGCAGAGGGAGAGATGGGGCTGGCGGAGAGGTGGGGCTGGTGAATCAGAAGACAGAAGGTCTTTTAGATGGTGCTCAGGAAGTTGGATCTGCACCTGGAGAGTTCACAATGGTGGTGTTTGAGGAAGAGAATGATACAACATTTCTGTTGTACACCATTCTGGAAGCAATGGTAGAAGATGGATGGTGGGGGTGTGCCAGGGAGTCGGTTCCGACTCATAGCAACCCTGTATAGTGTTCCCGAGGCTGTAAATCTTAACAGAAGTAGGAAGCCTCATCTTTCTCTCGAGCATCGACAGGTAGATTCAAACTGCTGACCTTGTGGTTAGCAGCCCAGCTTGTAAACCCACCAGGACTTGTGGAAGATGGATGGGAGGGGGAAATGTGGCAATCAGGAGACTAATTCACAGATCACAGCAGTGATTCCAGCAAGAAGTGTCATGGACTATCCTGCCCTGCACAGCTCCAGGGGCATTGATGCCGATTTCGTCTGTGTAAATGACACGCCTGAAGCTGGGCAACATGGAGGTCGTGGAACCAACAAGCTATTAGTGGTGGAGATGGAGAAGAGGAGCTAATTAGTGATACCCATCCACCCACCTACCCACCCAACTGTCCTAAATGCCTATGGTGTGCCAGGCACTAGTTTTGGTATATGGGACACTGAAATGGCTCCCATGAGCCTTGTCTTCAGTGCTGTCTGCACTGGACTGTGAGCTCTTTACAGGCAGTCTGTGGGTCATTCTTGGCTGAATTCTGAGTCCCTGCGCAGGAGCTGGGCTACATCAGGGGCTCAGAAAATATGTGCCAAGTGACTGAGAGAACCAACCTCCAGGTGCCTCGGATCTGGGTGGGGACTTCTGCCAGGCCTTATCTGCTCTCTTGTGCCCTAGGTCTCTGTAGGGGCAGGGGCAGTCTGTGTTGGACATGGAGAAGATTCTGTGAGACTTGGGTCTGGAGGTTGAGGACATGGATAGAGGGGCTCAAGGCACCATACAATCCAGTGGGGATCACAGGCATTGGCTCCCACCCTCCCGCTGTGGGCATTCTGGGGAGCCACCAACATCCTACATTCTGGTGTATCTGAGCCCCTTCCTTCAGCTAGGGCTGGGGTGGGCAAAACTGAGGAAAGAGGTGAGTGGCACTGAACAATCCATCCCAGCCTTACATGGCGCTTTGTTTAACCGGAACTACCAGAGACAGCGTAACCATAGCAACCACAAGTGGAAATTTTAAAAGTTAAAAATAAGTCATGACATCTTACATGTTGTCGGAGATACTGATGGTAAAACTGCTTTTCAAAAGCCTCACTACTCCATAAACTGAGTGGAGTAGTCTGTGGGGATTCACTTTCAGTAAGTCACCCCCAAGCTAGACCTGGGGCCTGGGGCCAGAGCTTGGCAGGGGCTGTGGAAAGACAGGGGTTTATGAAAGTGAACTGAAAATGCCACCTCAGGGCTGGAAGAGGAGCACTAGGTCACCTGGTCTAACCACCCCCGAAGGAGGACCATCCCTCTGAGACCTCCCAGGGGGCTGCTCATGTGCCTTGTTTGAGCACCCTGAGTGACAGGGAACTTGTTATCTGACAGAGACAGTTCATAACCCTGTGTGCAAGCTCTCCCTGCTAAGGGCTTTCAAGCTGACCACACGGAACTCAAGCACAAATGAACCAGACTGAGGACACAGAGGCCCGGGTTTCAAAGGCAGCTCTATACGTACTAGCTCTGTGACTGCCACTAACTTGCTGTGTAAACTTGTAAAGCACATGACCCACTGACGGCTCAGTTTCCCCATCTATGAAATGGGAGTAAAGATGGTGTGACTGTGGACAAGCCACTGAACATCTCTGAGCCTTAGCTGCTTTTTCTAGAAAATCCTCCCACACTGAAGAGGGAAACATTTCTCAGCTACCACATGCTATCCAGGAGCTGTTAGCTTTCTCTCTGGGCTTCCTCTGAGCCCAGTACCTACCTGGCAGGACAAGGACGTAGGAGATGCTGTGGGGAGGAATGAATTGGCCTCTGCACTTGCCAGGAGTGTTTCCTTGATACCACCATCCCTTCTTCCACAGTGACCAATGTCCCTTCGCCCCTAGAGGTCCCACCCTGGGGGTAAGGTCTTCCTCAGGGTGAAGAGACATCAGATGAGGGTGAGCTTGCCCCATTGCCCTGGCACAATGTGTACTCACTAGGAAGGATGGTTTTGTACCGGTTCTTCCGCACCAGACCAGGGATGTCGTATTCTTTTGGATCCACAAAATTCATGGGGATTTCCTGTGGGGGATGACAGGGGAGTGTGAGCAAGTGTTCCAATCCAAGGGTTGCTGGGTAAATTCTAGTCCAGGATCTGGCTTGAGAGTACTCGTGTGTTCATTCAGCAAACATTTACTATTAGACGAGTTAGGTCACATAAAGCATTCATAGCAACGTCTGGCACATAACAACGTCTGGCACATAGAATAAATGGCATTAGTTTGATTGCTTTTTGAGGGACAGCCAGGCACATAGTAGACACTCAATTAATCGTTGACTGAAAAAGAGCAAGAGAAAATGGCAACGTGGCCAATCACTGCCTCCTTTCACATTCCTTGTGCTGCAGCAAAACTGAGTGATTCTGTTGTTTGTGTTCCTGCTCTGGTGTCTCCAGCTCGGGGCCCTGGTTTGTGCTGCCTGCTCTGTGGTGGTACCCACCCTGTCTTCATTGCCTCATCCATCTTAAAGGCACCTCTTCAGAGATACCATCCTTGATTTTCCAGCACGAGAGAGGCCACCTCTGAGCTCCCAGGGTTATAGATGTACGTCTCAACCACTCCTTGTGCCAACAGCTCCAGTGTGAACAGCACAGCCTGGCTCCTGAGGTCTTCTCAGATCTGACTCCTCTTTACTTCTGGCTGACCTCACGGGACAATTCACACCCAGGTATTCCAATCTCTTCCCTTTTGCTACTATTCTGTTCTCAGTCTACCTCCACGTCTTAGTACTTTCTCTCCCTTCTCCATCTCTCCAACCTTTCCTGTTCTGCTCTAGTCCCACCTTATCCGGATGGCCTTAGGAATGACTCCCAATGCCTTTTTCCCCCGAGCTTCTCTTTCAATCTATTCAAGGAGTTCAACACCAGACTACACACATTTTAGACTGTTCTCCACACCCCCACCCCACCCGCCCCCCAGGACACACTAAGTATGGGTTTTGTGAATGAGGATCATAATGCATCTTAGGGTGCCAAGTGCCGGTAGGGTGGGTACTCAGAGTATGCTCCTTTCTTGTTGGGTAAAAGCAACAATGTATCTGGATGTCACCAGCACCAGTGGGAACTTGGGCGAAGGATGTAGATGGTGGTGGTAACTCAGAGGAGGAGCTAAAGTTGGAGTAGCTGAAGAGGCTTTCTTGAGGGGTCAGGTCTTCCAGGAAAGTTTGGATAGGGTGTGGGAGAAAGAGGCCAAGTGGGGGGCATGTTAGTAAAAGCATGAAAGGAGGAAGGTACAAGTGGGTAGCCAGTTTGAAGTACAATCCTACATGAGCAGAGGGACCTGAGGCTGGGGCTACACCAACTCAGGTAAGGTGAACTTTTTTCTCATGCAGGTGGTACCAGCTTCTAGAGAACTTGGAACAGAGGCCACAAGATAATGGAGGTCTCTTCAGACCTACCAGTCCAGGTAGGGCCAAGGGTGGTGTGGGGTGAGGGCTAGAGGCAGGGAGACATGAAGGGGGTACACTGCTTTCTACCCTCTGGTTTCTACCAGGAGGAATTTCCCCCAAACTGTCTTGGCCTCTTGTCCACTTCTCCGGCTCCCCCCACCCCTCCCACCCCGCTCTCCCCTTCTACCCCCTGCCTGCCCAGAGGTATGTTTGGTTGAGGAACTGGGATTGGGGACCTTACGGGTTAGCTCTACCCTGTCCTAACGGCTGCTGTGAGTTGGAATTGACTGATGCAGGGGGCTGGGTGTTACTACACACCTCAGCTTCATTTCCAACTTTGCCTTATCAATAAAAAAAAAGGGGATAGCATGCTCCTTTCTGTCTTAGCTCTTAACTGCTTCAGAATTCAGGCAGGTAAAACAGGGATGTCATTTACTCATGACACCTTGGAGTTCAAGAGGAGGCAGCTGGACTTTAGCTAGGGGTGAGGATCAGGGGTAAAATTTCAAAGGAAGGAGGAATAGTGGTTGGGGATGTTGGCTTTATGAGCACAGTGATGGTGAAGAAAAACTTAGAAATGCCTATTGGACACCAATCATCCTGTTGGGTGCTTAGCACACATTATCCATTTCGTTTATCCTTGCAACAATCCTGTGACTTGTATCCCCATTTTCCTGATGAGGAAACTGAGTGTCAGAGGCGAAGCAATTGCCTAAATTGATAATGAAATGGTGTCAGTCCATTCCACATGGTGAGTTCTGGATATTATGCGCATGGCAGGTAATGGGTGTGAGCAGAAAGGTCTGCCCATTGTGTGTGGCTGGCTTGGGGTGGGGGACTCACGAAGAACTCTGCCTGCAGGAGGAAGGGGTCCAAGGCCTTTTCGTGAAGTTCCTTGGCTTGGAGGACACGGGAGGCGCTAAGCAGGTACTCGCGGGCAGACTCCTCACGGGGGGACATGATGTAGCCGAAGCCCTCCTCATTGCAGCCCGGTGTGCACATGTCCAGGGTCAGGGAGACGTTGGAGCCTCTCCTGGAAGAGCCAGGAAAGGAGGAGTCTCAGGGGCAGGGAAGCAGGGTGGTGGGAGATGGGAGTAGAGATGGGAAGAGGGTGGGCTTAAGGAGGAGGAGTAGGAGGGTGATAAGATCCTGTACCACAGGAGTGGGGTCTTAGACCTAGACTCAGGCCTGACTCTAGGTCTCCTGTCTTCCACAGAGACGGAGCAAGCTGAGTAGGGTGTTTGGGGCCCCATTTACAAAGGGTCATGCCTGGTTGCTCCATCCAAGGCAACCCCAACACTGGTCTCCCCTGGACTCTGGTCAGTCCCAGCTTCACAGCACCCCAGAAGCTCAGACACAGTGAGCATCTGTTTAGAGCAGAGTCTCCAGACCCTCAGCTATCACTATCCTGGGTCCAGTAGTTCTGGGATGAGGGTGTCATGGGTCCAGGAGAGGCTAGGACCCTCGGTTGTTAGGAACAGAACAGTGGGACAAACATTACTGTGCTCAGTGTCTGAAACTACGGAACAGGAAGGGCCTTCATTATACGAAAAGGGAAACTGATCCTAGAGAGGTAATAAGAATTGTCAAGTAAGGAATCTCAGTAAGTAAGGGGCAGAGCTGAAACAAAAAGTGAGGTCTTCTGACTCCTGTCTAGGGCTCTATGACATCAGGTGACCAACTTGAATCAGGTGTGATCTGGCTAGGTTTTGAAAAGAGGGTGCTTATAGCCTTGGAGTCCTGCTGTGGCTCTGTGGGCTAATGCGTCAGACTGCAACGTCATTTGAACTGCAAGGTTGGTGGTTCAAGCTCACCGGCTGCTCCTTGGAAACCCTATAGAGGGTTGCTATGGGTCGGAATCAACTTGAAGGCACTTAACAACGACAACATAGCCTTGGTGGTGCAATGGTTGATGGTTAAACCCCGGCAGTGCTTGGCTGCTAACTGAAAAGTTGGGGGTTTGAACCCACCCAGTTGCTCTGGTGATCTGCTCTGAGAAGGACAGACTGTTCCTGCCGCTGTGTGCCATCAAGCCAGTTCTGACTCACAGCAAGCCTGCACAGGGTTTCCGAGGCTGAACATCTTTATGAAAGCAGAAACCTCATCTTTCTCCCACAGAGTGGCTAGTGGATTTGAACCGTTAACCTTGTGGTTAGCAGGCCAATGTGCAATGCACACAGCTACTAGGCTCTTTACAGTTAGATTTATTGTTGTCCTGCTACGGAATCCTATGAGGACAGTTCTACTCTGTCTTATCGGGTCACTGTGGATCAGAATCAGCTGGTTGGTACACAACAATAACAACATTCCCCAAAATGTGCTCTGTGGATCACGATGAACCCCATAAACATAGGGTTCTGTGGTTAAGTGAATTTGGGGAATGCTGCACACCACCCTCGTTAACGACTTAACAATGCTCACCAATGTGTTAAAAGCACTGACAAGTCCTGTAGTAACCAAACCTTTTTCATCTCCAATACTTCCCAAACCTACCTGAGCACAGGTCACTGTGTGAGTGTGCACAGGGATGTGTATGTGTGTACGTCCGTGGATGCCTGCGTGTGTATGTAGTAATGTAGCACTGACATGGGGGTACAAGCTACAGCAATCAGACCTGAAGAGTACTGGTCTACACTGCTAAGCTGCGAGGACAGCTTGGTCTTGGAGCATAGACAATCAGACTTGGGCATCTGCCCTTTGGAATGGAGTTGAGAGCTCAAGGGCCCGTGGAGCCCACCTCCTCCTCCACCCCTCCCACCTCTCCTGCAGACCCATGGACTTGACGGTCAGCGAGGCAGGGTCAGCCTCAGGCTTGATGTCCATCACGCAGTCAAACACAGGTGTCTCAGGGACAGGGTCCAGGTCCAAGAAGTCATCTTCGACCTTCTCCTCCATCCATTCTGAGTAGGTGAAGGAGGGCTGACGGCTCACAGACTGGCGTCGGTCCTCGGGGGGCAGTGGGGTGGGTGGCTCCGGGGGAGCTCTCAGGAGGTACCACACCTGGTTAGGGGCATGTGACATTATGGGAATGGGGTTAAGCCAGCTGCCCCTGGGTAACTAGGTGCCCATGTGATTAGGCCCCCAGTTTCTCAATGGATCGAGAACATCCCTGCTCTCCTGGGAGGTGTCTACAGTTCAATGCCCCTCATCTAGATTGGTGACTCCACCCTCTCTGAATCCTCCTTCATCCAACCCTCAGTTTCCTGTGGACCACGCTTTCTTCATGAGGTGTGGGGGCTCTTCCACCAGACCTCTCCCTTAGTTCTTATCTATTTCAAGTCATTGCTAGACAACTTTTAGAAGGAAGGTCCCTCTCATCCTAGGTGGAACATTCCAATGGAAGGAAATAGAAACCTCATCCCCACCCCTACTCAGAATGTCTAGAGCTTGTGGGATGAGGGCCACAGGATCACAGTAGGAGAACATGGAGGATGGGTTCAGAAGGCTTACCAGGGTGGTGATGAGGACCACGCTTACAGACAGAGAGACCAGCAGCAGACTGGAGACTCCCCAGGTCTCAACACCCAGCCAAGCCTGAGGAACACCAGACATACAAAGTCAGGGTGGTAATGAGGGGCACTTCTCATCCATTTCAATGGTGACAAAACCGAGGCTCTGAAAACTGTATAGCAGGTCTGGGATGGGGAGCAGGCAAACAATTTCAGGGGCTCAGAAGTATCTTATGATTTCAAAGCAGCCCCAACGTCTCCCTCTTACCCTGGGGTAACACAGAGTTACTCACTGTGGGTCCTAGGAGCAGCTGTTCCATGAATGTGAAGGTGGAAGAGATGAAGTTTGTGGCATTCTTCAACCAGATGTAGCCGAAGCCACTATACCAGAGCACCCCGAAGGCAAGCTGGGCCAGCCAAGGGGAGCAGACTGAGTCCAGAGCCTGGGCTCCTTGCCCCCAGACCCCCCTGGAGAGCTCACCTTCAGCCTCAATCTGGGCCAGCAAGGAGACTCCTGAACCTCCAGGGTCCAGAGTGGGTAGCTGAGGGAAAGGCTAAGGTACCATGTGCCCCAAGGAGGCCTCAAGACTCTACCTGAAGAAAAGCTGACTGAAGAGAGCCAAGAGAAAGCCCTTCCCAGAGGGGCCCCCTCAATGCACTGGCACATACAGAAAAAGGGGACTCTCCCAGAGATACCTCCACAGAGAGGAAGTCCTGGGAGGGAGGGAGGGGAGGTTCTGTGTCCTTGCCTCCCAGATTAGGGATTGTGAGGGGTTTACCTATGAAGGAGCTGGCTCAGAACTCCAGCTTTCTCCTCACACCATTCCAGAGGGCTCAGAGTCACTGAGGGACACCACAATGGCCCCTCCAGCCTCCCCAGACCCAGGTGACCATCTTGGGAGGAAGTGGAAGGTTGTCCCTCAACCCACCCTCTCTCCAGGCCTGTGAGATCCTTACCAGGAAATGTGAAACAGCAAACAGGCACAGGCTGCTCCAGAGAACCAGGGAGTCGCTCCAGGTGACTCTAGGTGGTGGTTTCCGAGCTGGCTCTGAGAGCCGTGAGGGTGGTGGGGGCGGTGGCATTGTTCTGTGCGAGCCCCGGAGCCCTTCAGCCTTGTCTAGCGCCTCTATCACTACCGGCTGGGGGGGACCTGTGGAAGGCAGGACACTCGGGACTCTGCTGACCCAGGCGGCCCGCTCCTTTTGGGGCTGCTGTGGATTCCTCTCAATCTGGGATCAGTCAGCGTGGCTCCACTTCCAGCAGTCACCCTCGATTAGCAAAGCAATATTCACCTACCTTCGTCAGAAAGAGCTAAGTGTGGGTGGACAAATTATTTCTCTTTTATTTCTCCAGTAACAGAGTTAAAATGGCAGGAGGTTTTTCAGAGAGTTAATATCGTTGTGTTTACGTAGCTTCATTCTTTTCCATTTCTTAAGGAAACAAAAAACAACCACCTCAAACTCAATTAAAAAGGAAAAAAGACACGGCATAACCAGGCTGTGACCCTGAACAACCCACCCACGCCTGCTCTCTGAATTTTTGTCTCTTGTGGTCTTTGCCCCAGCTGGGACTGCAGATGGACTCTTTACAAGATCCACAACCAAGTGCCTATTTTGATGACCCCCCGCACTGAGAGGGGGTGGGGGCAACCAGGAGGAAACTCTTGGTATAAGAATTGACATTGGTGGAATCTTGGTGTGGCACTGTAGGACAACTAATCGACTGCAATGTCGGTTTGAACCACAAGGTCGGTGGTTCAAATCCACCAGCCACTCCTCTGAAACCCTATATAGGATCGTTATGAGTTGGAACTGACTCGATGGCATTCAACAATAACATCATCTGGGGTCTAGTTCTGGGTTTGCTACTTTTTTTTTTGTTTGTTAGTGCTGTCAAGTTCTGACCCATAGCGACCCTGTATAGGGTTTCTGAGGAGCAGTTGGTGAGCTTGAACCACTGACATTTCAGTTCAAACCGACTTTGCAGACCATTATCCCACAGCACTACAGCATGGTTGTGTGTTAGTCCATCTCCGGACCTCAGTTTTAATATCTGGAAAATGGGGGGCTGGACTCTGGGCCCTGCTTGCACACAGGTTTCTAACTGTGCTTTACAGGGTCATAGATTTTTCTCAAGTGTGTTAAGGACTGTTACTTGGTGCTCAGAGTCTAATATCTGTGCCTTGACCCTAGAACCTCTGCTTGTCCCTGTTTCATATATTGGGTTTCCTCTAAGGTACTTCAACAAAGGGCTCAACTACTAAAAAGTCTAGATGACAACAGCCTAGATCTGAGGTCTTGGTGGTAGTCTGAGGATCCTGTGTCAGCCATGTTGGTGAGTCCCAGATATTGGATGTCCCCATCCAAACCCATATGGTTCAGTCTATTACCAAAAACAGAAGGACCAGCAAAATGGATGTGCAGGGCTTGACAGTGGAGATGGGGCTATCCACACATGGAACCCTGTAGACACGCTTCCACTTCAGGTATCTACCATATCACTGCACACATGGGAGAATGGGCTCCTTCTTGGATGGGCAACATCAGAACATTTACAGCCAAGACCATGTAAGGCGAAGACTGGTGTTTCTCCATGTATTTCTGGCTCACTCGATATTTACTGAGCACCTCCCCTGGTCTGGATCAACAGTGCAGTGCAAGGCACCCTGGTCTTCCAGACACCTGGATTTACATTGCAGCCTTCGCCTTCCCAGTTGCTGACACTGCATGGTTCTGTACTTGCTGTCTTCTAGCTACACTCTCTGTGTTCCTCCAGTGAGCCTGCTTCCTGTGCTTTGTATATATGGTTCCCTAAGCCTGGGACATCCCTCTGGATACCCTGCCTCCCCCTGTACCTCCCACAAGTTCACCAAGTTAACTCTTAGTCATTTTGATGTAGCTCTTGCCCTATTCTATGTTCCTAGCATCCTTTGCCTCTCTTTCAAACCCTCCAGGAGTAGAAATGCGACTGTAATGTGATGAGGTTCTGTTCTGAGTGGTTTACATATGTTAAGCTATGTAATCTTCACCACGCTTTTATGAAGTTGGTCTCATTATATATCCTCATTTTACAGATTGGGAAAATGAGGTGCAGAAAAATTATAGGACTTACCCAAGGTCACTTAGCTAGTAAGTGGTAGAAATGTGCTCAACTGAGACAGTGCGACAGACTCTGGGCTATATTACATAAACTATGACTGTGTCATTGTTGAATATAATCTCCACCACTAAGTTCTATACGGAGTCCTGGTATGGCGCAGTGGGTTAATGCGCCAGACTGCAAAGACGTTTGAACTGCAAGGTCAGCAGTTCAAGCTCACCAGCCGCTCCTCGGAAACCCTATACAGGGTTGCTATGGGTTGGAACCGACTCGATGGCACTTCACAACAATAACAAGTTCTATATGGGCAGGAGATGTGTCAGTGTTTCTTGTCACAACTGTGCTCAGCATCTAGTAAGTCTGCAACAAATAGCTATATAATAAATCACTGATGATGGGCAAGTGGCAATCTCTTACTTAGTTTTCTCACCTGTTTATGGGATAATGCTCACTTTTTTTTCTTTTTGAAGAAATAAAATGGTCTTTATTTACAGATAACACAATTATCTACACAAAAAATCCTAAAAAGACAATAAAAATTCTACTAGAATTATAAGTGAGCTCAACTAGGTCACAGGATATAAAGTAAAACCAAAAAAATTATTTATATATATATATTATTGTTGTTAAGTGCCAACTAGTCGCTATCAACTCACAGCGACCTTAGGCACAACAGAATGAGACCCAGCCCTGTCCTGCACCAACCTCACAACTGTTGCTATGTTTTAGCTCATTGCTGCTGCCACTGTACCAATCCACTTCTTTGGGGGTCTTCCTCTCTTTCGTATACTGCTCACTTGGAAAAACTGCATGCAGACTGCTATTGCTGTTAGTTGTCAAGTTGATTCTGACACACAGTAGACTTGCTCCTTAGATTCCTGGGTTGTAATCTTAATGGAAATAGGTTGCCAGGTCTATCTTCTGTGATCCTGCTAGACTGGTTCGAACCACCAACCTTCTGGTTAGCAGTTAGATGCAAACTGCTTGTGCCATGTAAAGACCTTACAATGACTGTGCATACTACATATGAAATGCACATCTGGAACTTGGCATTTAGTAGGTGCTCAATAAATGGCAGGGGGTCCTGATGTGGTGCTGTACGGTAAGCACTCCACCTCAAGATCAGTTTGGACTGTAAGATTGTTGGTTCAAATTCATCAGTCGCTCCTCCGAAACCCTAGACGGGGTTGGAACCGACTTGATGGCACTTAACAACAATAACAATAAATCGCAGATTATGATAATCATAATAATAAATGGCAGATTATGATAATACAAATTTTCTACCTTCAAAAGGCTCCTAATCTAGTAGGTAAAACACACCTGCAAAAAACTGTTTACAGTACACTGCATTAACTAGTACATATAAATGCTGGAGGAATCTAAGATGGGGAGAAGTAGCTCTCACCCATGGAGGCTAGAGTTGCTGACCACATGAGTACATGGCTCAGATCCTAGTTAGGAAAATGAAAAAGGAAAAGCTGCTGTTAAAAGATGGATCATGGGTGAAGTCAAGAGTTTCTGCTATTGACAAGCGGAGGATTATTACCCAACATGAGATATCCACCCACACCCTTGTTGATGCCAAATGTGGACGGAAGGACAGGGCACAGGCCTGAGGACACCTGACTTCTACATCTCAGCTCTGCGATGGATAGGCTGTGGGGCCTTGGACAACCCCTTCTTCTCTCTGGGCCTGTTTCCTGAGCAGAAAAAAGGAGGGGCTGGAGTTCAGTGCTTCTCAATGTTTCTGCCAACCTCAGAGGAGAGAACACATGGACACGAATAGCAACAAGCACACATGGTCTGGGCTTTGTTGCTCTGGATTGTGCTCGATGCCACCTTGTTGTGATATTAAAATAATGGTTGTTCTCCTTCGCAAAGCTTCGAATAAAATTGATGCTTCAGGAAGATATGCTATAATTTATCTTGTGGCTTTGCCCTTAGGGGTAAATGCACCCCAGTCTGAGAAGGATGGAACCTGCCCGCCATAAAGTGCCATGCAGCCATCATAGATGATTCTGCAGATGATGATTTAATAGCACAGAGAGGGATTCTGGAGGCACTGAATGAGAAAGGCAAGGTTATAAAACCTCATTGGCCATAAGAATAAAACAAGTATAAATGTGTATACAAAAATTAGTTGAAATGCTTTGTTACATATATTTCACCACCACCACAAAAACAACAACAGAAAAGAGAGGCAAGAGGCTGGTGCAAGATAGTGCTTGAAGAACACAAAGCACAATGAATGAATGTCTTGCTGTTGTTAAGTGCTGTCGAGTCGGTTCCAACGCATACAAGGTTTCCAAGGAGCAGCTGGTGAGTTTGCACTGCTTACCTTGTGGTTTGCAGTCCTGATCCTATGATGCCACACCGTGAGTCTCGCATGTTGTTGTTGTGAAGTGCTGTTGAGTCAGTTATGACCCATAGCGACCCTATATTCAGGTTACCAAGGAGCAGCTGGTGAGCTTGAACCACTGACCTTGCTGTTCAAATGGACATCGCAGTCTAATGCATGAACCAACAGCGCCACACCAAGGACATCACAGTCTAATGCATGAACCAACAGCGCCATATCAAGTGGGTTTGAACTGCTTACCTTGTGGTTTGCAGTCCTGATCCTGTGGTGCCACACCAGGAGTGTGGCACATAGTAAGTACTTAACAAATGTACTTGATAAATGGTCGAATGTAATAAGCAAGGTGTTAACTTTGTGGGAGTGAGATTAGAGGTGATTTTTTTCATTGTTTATATATTCTCAATTTCTTCTTATATAGTTGTCAAGAGAATTTTTTTTTCGTAAAGAGATCAAACTTCATGAGGCCTAGTCAATATTCCTGGTTTCCAGGACCTGATTCCCATATGTGATACCTGAATGCATATGCTGGCCCATTAGAGGATGTGGGTGAGCAGCTCTGTGAAACCCACTGAGCAGTAGAAAAGCCATTAAAATGCAGGCACCATGGATGATGTATGATCATTCCTTTTTCATATGAAAGATGGCAGGTTCATGGCTTTGCTGGTTGGAAAACCGTGGATACACGGCTC